AATCGCGACAATGGATTGAGTGATGGCTTGAGTTGTTGTCCAAAACCAATTGATTGTCATTCATAGCGAAGACATTAATCTAATGGCAATTGAATTGTGTGCCCAAAACACAGCACAACAGTCACTAAAGGGTTATACAAAGTAGAGATGTGTGGCGTCTGTTGTGCTGTTGTGTCAATGAATGCACATATGATTGCATTGAATGCATTGCGTTTGTGTTGCGTCAACACCTCTACGCTCTCTCCCTCTCTCTCTGTGTGTTGTGTTGAACGCAATGATTCGGTGATTGAATGTTGTGTTTATTGTACAGACTTTTGGCTGTAATGTTGTGAACCATATTGTGATGTGAATTAAAGTTTAGTCAGTGTTTCACTCATTGCTTATTACAGACACTGTTTGGCGATTGAGTCACTTCTGCGGACAGGTGTCTGTCGGACACACACCCAGTGGTCGCACACACGGCGACTATCAGTCAGTACTGACACCACTCGCGACTGTCATTAGTATCTGCGGGTAATCGACAGTTAGGTAAGCGCTTCACTCATTTGATTATGTAATATATGTGTTGACAATTGGTTTGAATATATTTATAGACAATTAATTGATTGAATATGTATTGAGTGAACAATATATGAGTGAATGAGATGTTAGTTGTGTTGTGAATGGGAGTGAATATTGTGTGGAAAAACACATTGTCTTCGGCGGTCTCCGCACTTGTCATCGCCCGACCACTACTACTACTACTTGTGTCCACTCAATCCCATCCAAAACACACCACGAGTTTGCTATACATATATCGTTAGATCCGTTAGTGATTAGTGTTTTGTTTTGTTTAATAACATTAGTTAATAATTAGTTAGCGTTTAGTAATAATGATGCGAACCATTCATCGGATGAGGCGATCGTTTTCGCTAGATTTGGCCGCCGATGACTCCAACACTTTGTTTTTGCCATTCAATACAATCGATGACAATCACAGTCATAATCACCATAACTATCACCAACTCTTTGCCAAAGCGGTACGAATTTTATTAGGTTTTAATTCAAATTAATACTAGTTTTTATCATTTATATAACAATTATTTTTTATTTTAATTTTAATAATTGTAATAATAGTAATAACCAATTGTTGACTTTGTTTTGCTAATTATTTCTTCACTTTTAGTATCAAATTATATTCAATTTCCTATCAAATTTATGCGTGTATTGAAATCCGACCCAAAGTTTGCATTTTTCCCTATACTTTAGATGTGAAGAGAAAGTCTGTTGTTTAGTCCATAGGATTGTATGTCAGCTAAAAAAGTCTATTGAATTGCATTAATGCTATCATTTGTTATGTAAAAATTGCGAGTGTTTTGTTTGATATGATTTAAATTGACCTCAAAAACAGTGTGTTATTTATTATATCACTTGTGTTTATATCACTGCTCTTTTTGAGGACATTGAGCCCTTACTTGCCATCAATTGCCATGATTTCAATGCTTATATCAAACTATTAATTGAAACTATACTCACGTTAAGCACTACTTCACTAATTAATACATTAGTTTTTGCATAATTAACACATCTATTCAATGCATTTAATGCCAAATTAAGTTTAAAATATAATTCATTTATTGCCTGTTGTTTGCAACCAATTTTGTCGATGAGATGTTATAGTTTTTGATTTAATTTCCATGATTTTAAGCAATTTTATTGTAATTCTTGGTAACATTATTTCGTGAATTGCATATAATTTCGGCGTTATTTTGAAAGCAATGACAAACACTTGAGAAATATTGAGTCCAATCGTAATCTGTAATAGTTTTTGTGACAAATAATTTGGTAATTTTGGAGATACTTTTGGACGATATATTGTGTGCTATTGTATGTTTGGCTCTCATGTTTCTGTCGTCCAATTATACTCTTAATTTATCCCCAAATCATTGCAATTTGATTGCAATTATTGAAAACCCGTAATAATATTTGCATTGACTTTTGATGCCAAACATGGAGTGAAACGGGAAGTCATAAATTTGGCATTAAATTTGTTTGAGGCCATAAATTTTAAGCTATAATTTGTTATATAAATTGAAAATTTATTTTATTTAAGAGTCGTTTGTATAAAACAAAAGCTATTATAAAATATGTTATCATTTTTTTTGCTGAGTTTTTCTAAGATTTGGGTCTTAATCGACGCGAAATGACTTTAAGTTGTAGTCCTTCTTGAAGTCATTTCTTAGATTTTCAATTACAGTCTATTTCGTTAAATATTTACTTGAATTCATTTGTCAATCATTTCGATACATACAAAGCTATAATGGGATTCTGTCTGTCGTCTTGAATGTAATGTTTTTTTGTGATTGTTTTTGTGAGAGAAATATGTAGAAAATGGTTGTTTATTGTCCGACAGTTGTTAGCCCTGAGAGTCGTATCAAATATAGCCGAAGAGAAGAATTTCAAAAATATTCTGTATTTAGGCTATAAGTGAGTGATCCCTAAGACCCAGATATCCTTCAACTCTCCCCACAAACTATTGCTTGAATTTTGTAATTCATTTATTTGTCATTTTATTTTAAAAATCAAAATATGTGTGAATATTGTGTGAAATTTATTAGGTTTTAAAATAGCGTTGATTTTGTAGAGTGAATAAATACAATCGGACTGTATATTCGTGTTGATTTTGCTTTTTTGTTTTTCCCCAGAAAGTGATGTTTATTTTATCATAAATTTTTATATATAGACTCACATTAAGCCCAGTTGTGAGTCGGGAATCATATTGAATAAGTTGTTTAACAGGTATACATAAAAAATAATAATTTTTTGAGATAAGAAATTTCCAAAATATTAAATGCTTTTTTGGAAATTTTGTAAAACACAAACAAAATGTGCACAAAATTTTGCTTTTGAATCAAACATTGAACGAAAAAACATTGAATTTTACGGAATTTTTATTGAATGATCATTTGTTTGTTGGTATGGCTGTGACCCCCGACCCGACCCCCACTTTATTGATTTAAACATTCGCTGCATTTTTTCACTAATCGTTTGTTTGATTGAAAATGATTTTGCTTTAAACGACACTAACTTTAAATGGAAAATATTTATTGCTTATAAACACTTATAGATTAATACTTTGTTAAACACAATCGGTTTAAATAATTGTTAAATTTGTTAAAATTGTAAATACATTCACTGTTTAGTAACACTTTATTATAAGATCTCAAAAACACAATATTTGTAAATATATTAAAGTTATAAAAGTAAATGTTTGGTCAGAATATTATTGAACTAATACTAAAGAACCGATCTTTACGTGAATTCATTTCTCGATTAATTTTGTATTTAATGTTTAAATGTTTGTAAATATTTGAAGCATTTTTTATTCGTTTAATAATTTGTTGATAAAGTGTTTTAATTTTTATTTAAATACTTATTTTATTGAATTGATTATACAATGGTTTTTGTGTGTATAATAAATATTGTCAATTAAGTTGTTATTGGGATAAATGTTTACACTATATCGGAAAATATTGGTTATTATGAACTAGACTTTGAATCAAACAAATAGTATAATCAGCGATGAGTTTATGGTAAACAATATTCCCTAAATATAAGATAACATATTCCTGGGTTTTATTAATATAAATAGCATTTAATTTTACTTACGCTTCACTCGAAGTCTCACAAGACTTGTCAGTCATAATCGCAGTTTCATGTGTTGAATGAAATTAAGGAAAAATTGTTACATTTTGACAACTTTTTAAAAATTTTTCAATAAAATTCTTTGACCAAAATATTTGAACATTAAATTCAAACACATTTAATTATATATCTGTTGTTTTGTTTACCAAATTATTGTCAATCAATGACTGCAAAGCTAATTATCTTAAGGTTTTTTTCACTTTTGATTTAATTTAGTGAATATTGAGTGAAGAAATCTATATTTAATGATAATTTATAAATATAAATGGTTTTACTAATGGTTACAAAGCATTTTGATAATGATATTTAGGATTGTGGCCATACGTGCGTCCGAACCGTCCGATCCATTATAAAAGCCCCCAAAGAGAACTTTTATGATGTTTTGGTGTTTTATAGAGTTTTCACTATTAATGATATCTAAATGTTTTGAAAGAAATGAAAACTAGTATTTACTTGTTTTAAGTATTACAAAACACATAAAATTATAAGTTGTGTACAGTATTAATATTTATTGGTATTATAATTAAAATATTTTGTATATTACATAATAGTGTGTCTGTCTATAGACTGAATGTGGTGTAATTATAATGTAAATGAATGTCAATCTATCCATAATTCACATGCAATTACATAACAGCAAAAATGTATTTAAAAAATATTTTGATTTGTACTAACAATTTGGAGGAAGGAATCGTTGTATCAAATGTTTCACTCGTGTCTTACAATCAGATCCAATAGGAATTGTTGAGCAAATGTTTTGATTTGATTGGATTTTGCAGTTTCTAAAGATTCAGTGACTTCTAAACTGATGGCATTGTATTTAATATAAATATTTGTTGTGTTTATCGCATGACTTAGAAAAATAACTGATTTATTGGTATATTTATAGAACTCGACGGGACAGTCGTCTGGTGCCGATTGTCAGACAAATTGTGGTGAAATGACTGCAGCTGTTCACTGGTCTACTGGTGTCGATGATATTGACGATGCATTGGCCGCTGATTTCGATGGCAGTCTATCCGGTCTCGGCATGGAATTGGGAACTAATTCATTCAACATGAGGTATGCGTTCATATAATACCAGACAATTAACCCCTTCTTCTCCTTCTAATGCCATTTGTATTGCTTTTTAAAGTGAGGCTTTGATGGCTTTGCCTAATCTAACTGGTCTTAAACACGAGCACCACAACCATCATCACAGCCATCACCTCACGAGCCATCACCACCACAGCCATCATCATCAGCACAGTGTCGGCCATTCATCTAATCATCAAAATGCGCGCATTTCTCACTCTGAGGGCTCGTCAACCGATCGAAGTAACGGCGCGTCTCCTCTATTGCACTCCAGCGCCGATGAGACTAACCGTCCGATAGCTGTAGTCCACGGAAAGAAGAATCGTCTCGCGTATGGGACTGAGGATGAAGTGGTGACCACTGCTATCAAGCGATTCTGTTTGAGTAACGAAAGGGAATCCAATCTTAACGAACACAACAACCGATACTTCATTTCCAACAACTATTTGAATGAAGACGAGTGTAATGACGATTGTGTGGATGAGCTCCGGTGCCAACACAGACACTCCTCATCGGTGCCCGATCTGCGAACAACAGTTCCCGGAGCCACCAATCAATCGCATTCGACGGCATCTTCACCCTCGTCCTCATCCACACCAACGCCCACTCCATCATCAGTTTTGGCCCAAATACTGGCCGCTCAGCAATACATAGCCAACTCTCCGCCGCCGGCACACGAGACGCTTCCGTCCAATTCGATTAGCACTAGAAGTGCCACCAAATTCCAGTACGTGTTGGGCGCGGCCACCAGTATGGCTGTCAAAACACACGAAGAGTCCATGACTTACCTCAACCAGGGTTTGTCTCCACAACCAAACCATCATTTCTCGACATTAACTCACATTTTGTTTCATTTATAGGACAGTCGTATGAAATAAAGTTGAAAAAAGTGGGAGATTTGACGGAAATGAGAGGCAAAATGCTTAAAACGATTCTTAGGGTTGGTTTTCAAGAGAGACGCCTTCAGTATATGGAAAAGGAATTGATATCTCAGTGGAAGAATCAAAGACCTACGGATCGGATCCTCGAGGTTGACGTTCCCCTCTCTTATGGAGTGCACGACATATTCGATGACCCGAAAGATGTGAACAAATGTGAATTCTTTTGGGATCCCACGAAAGAGACCGGAGTTTTTGTTAAAGTATTTTGATTTAGAAGTGGTTTTTGAAAATGTTTGCTAACAATAGTATTGAAATTTCAGGTGAATTGCATTAGTACTGAGTTTACACCGAAAAAACACGGCGGAGAAAAGGGCGTCCCGTTTCGGATTGTGATCGAAACGTATCCGCACAACGGCCACAGCCCGGCCTCATGTCTTCACGCGGCCTCGTGTCAGGTGAAAGTGTTTAAGCCTAAGGGCGCCGACCGGAAGCATAAGACAGATCGCGAGAAAATGGCCAAAAAGCCGCACTTAGAACAGGAAAAGTTTCAGAACTCTGTCGACTGCACTGTTTTCATTGATTGCTCGTTGGATTCGTTGTTCTCATTCAGTGCTCCCGTATCTCAAACTACCTCTAATCACATCTCAACCATCGAAATCAACCCTAAGACTAACGAATCAATCAAATGCTTATCTCCCGAACACTCATTGACCCCAAAACCACTCGCAATCAATAGCTATTGCGAAAGCGATTCGTCGCACGATTTAGTGACCAACTGTTTGCCAACCGCTCAGTCGGTCGACGCCTCCTTCCGAGCCCTGGCGGTCGACTCAGACGCCGAACTCACAAACAAATGGCTTCAAACAAATCGATTCAATTCCTATACGAGAACGTTCTCCAACTTCGCCGGCGCCGACATCTTAAGGCTTACGCGCGAAGATCTCATTCAAATCTGTGGCCTAACCGACGGAATTCGACTCTTCAACGCACTCCACGCCCGAACCATTAGACCCCGGCTTACAGTATACGTGAGCTCACCGTCCGATGAAGTCTATCGCGCCGTCTATTTAGAAAATCTAACGGTCAATGAATTGATTGCGAAACTAAACGCAATTTTGTTGTCGAATAGCAAAATTAAATTAAGCCGAATCTGTTTGTCCGGTCCGTCGGGTATTCATATCTTAGTCACCGATGATGTCGTTCGCAATCTTTCCGAAGAATCCATGTTTTTAGTTGAGATCAAGAAAGGTATGAATCAATCAAATGAGAGTTTTGTTTGCTTTTTGTACTCATTTTGTGTTTTGTTTTATTAGATCCAAACGGAGGCAAACTTCAGGCACTACTTAAACCGTTTAATTAATAATTGAAATTTATTTTAATCAAACAATTAATCGCTGAAATTGTTATCAACTTATTTAGACTTTTGTTTGTTTAACATTTACTTTTGTTTCTCCGACTCTGGAATTAGAGTTTAATTTGTGTTTTTAATCATTGGCTTTAAATTTAGATATATTTGTAGTTTTGATATTTTTGGAATATATGTATAATTTAATGATTTGACATATCATTTGTCTCTCAAATCCAATAGAGAGTCAGAACAGGAACGGGAAATATATTGATGTATTCAATCATTTCATAGATTCATCGGTTAGAGAAACATTCACTATTGAGTTAAACAAATGTTACACTCATTTTATATCAATTGCTTAATAGTATTTATTTTAATATTCAAATAATTGCTATTATTTCTAAGCAAACCTTTTAATGTAGCGCTCATTTATTTTTTAATTTATTGTGAATATTTATAATACTATTCATTTGCTTTTACTATACTTTTTGGTTATTTGAAAAACTATGCAATCAATGAAATATTTTCAAACATTGTTATTCTTTGAACCCCTTTTCCGGCGAATAACATATTCCTAAAGTAAAGCTAGACATAAGCCCAGAATTGAAAACCTGTAATAAAATGTACCTCTAATTTGTATGGCATTTGTTTAATAAGTATCTCATTAAGTCATTAGATAACTATTTTTACAGCAATTTATCATAAATCCTGAATTGAGTTCAAAATTTTTCACTTTTATATTCAATGAAATGTTTGGAAACCACTGTTTTTGTTGAAATGAATAGAAATGGACTGAATTTGTGATAAATCAGTCTCTGATTCAATAGTTTTTCTCTACTATTACTACTGAATATATAGCATATTTTGGTCATACGTTTGCAATCATATTCTCCCGGTTTTGATACAAATTATTAATTATTTTACATTTGCTTATAATTGGGAATAATAAGTGAAATAGAAAACAATATATAGTTTTACAAAAATACAGTGCCATAAATGGGAACCAATCATTCAATTGTCCTTTTTGTTCATTTTACTAATAAATAAATAAAAACACATTTGTATGTATTGTTATAACTATTCAATTGTTTTAATTCTTATTAATATTACATTGAAATAAGTTTTTAAAACTATTTTTTTCATTATATTTATAAAAAGATGAATTGATAATTGTGTAAAATTTCAATTAATTGAAAACAAAAACTAAAAATCAAAAAATAAAAGTGAGTGTAATATAAGATTCTAAAAGTGGAAATTGTTATATCAATGATAATGTCATCAAAATTCAGAATTTTAATTGAATTTCATGAATGAATTAATATATAAACAATTGGAGCCATTGTTTGACGAAATGACTTATAATTGATTTTTTAGGCAAAGAATTTGTCCAAAGATCTAATTGACAGGATTTTGGCATTGAGTTCAAAATGATTGTGATTTTTTGATACACAATAGGATACTCTGGATGTGTGTCTTCCGGGTATTTTGAACCAAAACTATTTAATGCAAGTTTTGCCATAACTTTTACCATAAGTTATTAGAGGAGAAACTGCAATAAATTAAAGATAAGTTTCATATAATTTATATATCGTATAGTATTTTTTGTTGAAATAAATATTTGCTCAGTTTTTATCAGTGATTTGTTTCGGAAATTAATGCTGAATAATACTATTAAATGAGTTTTTAATCAAAGCCTTTGTGTTTTCTCAATGATAAATGAGCCAAACATCTCAAGAATTGGTTTCAAAATACATGTGAAATATTGTCTGAAATTTGTTGAATATATTAGTGAATAGTTTTTTGTCACAAGAAGTGGTTTTTATGTGTGAAACTTAATAATGGAAAATAGGGATCAATTGAAGTATCGGTTTATAGTGTTGGGAGGTTTGGATGACAGCATTCGCACAAATACTTGTGATTAAAACAATCATTTCTAAAACTACAGGCAATGGATTCATTGGACGAAACTTTGTTGAATATCTGGTCAGCGAAGGAATCGCATCCAAGATTCGGGTCGTCGACAAAGTGTTGCCACAAATGAGATGATTAAAACAATCATTTCTAAAACTACAGGCAATGGATTCATTGGACGAAACTTTGTTGAATATCTGGTCAACGAAGGAATCGCATCCAAGATTCGGGTCGTCGATAAAGTGTTGCCACAAATGAGTTATTTTAATAATAGACATCAGGTTTGGCACCCATTTATTATAATACAGTACAGAATACATGATCGTTTAGTTAATGGTGAGAATGTGTGTCTCCATTACCCCCATTACACGCCTCCGATTACCGGTAATATGAATGCATTACAAATAGAGGTTTAGAAGTTTTGGATCAAATTATTTGTTTTTACATTTGCTATAAATATTATTACTGTAGTAATAATTTATTACACTTATTATTGGTGCCAATTATTGGCGATATGTTTAAAACTCCCATTAATTGGCCTTCAAAAGTTATATACATCTATAAAATGCAATCTGTCTATGCCCTAGGTCAGCATATTAGCCTCCATACAATAAAACATCAGATTTTATTTAAACATATGCTTTAAAACTTTGGTTTTTTGTCATATTTTCCAATGTGTTACACGATATGACCCTTAAATTCATACAAATAAATTCAATTGAAAACATTCCGCAACAGAATCGCAGACATAACAGATATATGAGACCACTATTGCAGCCAATCTATAGCTTAATTGACGAAAATGTTATCGCAATACAAATACAGTATTAGAAAACCTATTTGTGACACAATTTAACATTTCTAGCATTTATTGAAATTATATTTACTTTTCCACTCATTTCACAGAATATATTCTCAAATCCATTGATTGAATTCAAAAACGCGAATCTAATTAATGTCAGTAAGTGTTTGAATATTGTGTTGGATTTAAACAATGAATACTTCTAACCATTTCACTATATTTTCGGCATATTTTATATTAAGATTTATTTTTGACTAAAGAATTATTGCATTTTAAAGCAATAATAATAATAAAATAATTGATTAAAATCTACTTTTATTGAGATTCGTGTCAAAAAGCATTCGAAGACGACATAGGGTTTGATTTTGTGGTGAATTTTGCGTCTGAGACCCGTTCCGGTCATTCGGACGCTGTCTATGAAGAGGGCGTCTATAAGCTGTCCATCAATTGTGCCAAAGAGGCCGCCAAACAGAGAGTCAAGAGATATGTGGAAATCTCGAGCGCAGAGTTTGAATGCGATTCGACGACCGGATTGTCTGAGTCGAGCCCTTCGCTCAAACCACTGACACCTTTGGCTAAATATAAGCTCAAAGTGGAGAATGAGTTGAAAGCAATTGAAAATTTCAATTATATAATCGTTAGACCGGCTCTTGTCTACGGAATAGCCGACAGATTCTCATTAATGCCAAGAATTATCATTTCTTGTGTTTATAAGCATTTGAATGAAACGATGAAACTTTTGTGGAACAAAGACCTCAAACTCAATACAATTCATGTCCAGGACTTGTGTTCTGCCGTTTGGTTGTGTTGTCTGAACGGCAAAGAAGGGGAAGTGTATAACGTGGTCGATACGGGAGACACCACTCAGGGCTCACTAAACCATATATTAAGCGATATATTCGGCATTCATTGCGATTATTGGGGAAATAATATGTCGAAAATAATCGTTAAAACCAAAGGTTTGGACGATTTGGTGGAAGAGATCAACGAAAAACATATGTTAGGGTGGAGTGAGTTGTGCGGAAAACACGGCATTAGAAACACTCCAATCACTCCCTATTTATACCCAGAAATGTTACAAAACAAAAGCTTATGTCTAAACGGAGACAAACTCAATGGTTTAGGCTTTTCCCATAAAATACCACAAATGACTAAAGAATTGGTTTTAGAGATAATCAATGATTACGTGGAAATGTCTTTATTTCCCAAAATATTGTAAAATCTGACTATTTATTGCTGATTTGAAAATTATTTAAAAAACATAAAATACCACAAATGACTAAAGAATTGGTTTTAGAGATAATCAATGATTACGTGGAAATGTCTTTATTTCCCAAAATATTGTAAAATCTGACTATTTTTTGCTGATTTGAAAATCATTTAAAAATCCTATTGATTCGCAACGAATCGCATAATCTTTTTGTGTAAGATTTAAAACTGAATGTGAAATAAACAATCGCGTCATTAAAATTAACTTTATATTTGTTTTCATCCAAAAAATTGTAATAAAACTCATTTATATTTAATTTAAAAAACTGTTGGGTTTTTGTAATTGAAAATTTATAATCGAAAGGGAGGTTCGCTTTCTATCGGGATTTGGCTATTGTTTAGTAATAAACGATAGCATTGTTTAGTTAAAAGTAAAGCGATGGACAAAAAAACAATAATAATAAAAATAAAATGAATTAATTGATAGCAGAAATCGTTATAAATCGATATATAATTAAATTGAATAGAAATCAGTTCAATGTCTAAAACAATCGATTACTTCTATTAAACATAATATTCAATATTTAATAAAACAATTGACAAAAACCCGGGAAAAACGGGTTTCTAAATATTGATGACTGAAATCTCTATGTCTGACAACAGGGCTTCTTATTTCGGTCGGAGTTATCGGTCGGAGGAATGTTTATCGGCCTTATGTTCTCAGCGGATGGCGAGGGGTCGTCACCGCCTTCGTTGCGGATCTGCTTCTGTGAGACAATGCGATAGATTTCGGTCAGTATTTGTTGAAACGCCGCCTCGACGTTAGTCGAGTCCAGGGCTGACGTCTCGATGAATGACAACGAGTTTTTCTCTGCAAACAAGGCATCAAATCAATTGACCGCAACTGTAAGGCCACAGCCAATGGCGGCCGACGTATACATACCGGCGAAAGCACGGGCTTCATCGGTAGGCACAGCGCGTAAGTGTCTTAAATCAGATTTGTTTCCGACTAACATAATCACTATATTCTGGTCCGCGTGATCTCTCAGCTCTTTCAGCCATCGCTCCACGTTTTCATAGGTCAGGTGTTTGGCGATGTCGTACACCAGGAGTGCGCCGACGGCTCCCCTATAGTAGGCCGAAGTGATGGCGCGATACCGCTCCTGACCGGCGGTGTCCCAGATCTGCGCTTTGATAGTCTTGCCGTCCACTTGAATACTTCTTGTGGCGAA